CTCCAAATCTTCTACATGTTAGATATTGTCATTTAGATATTGTCATTAGCTAAACTACAATTGTTAGGGAAAACGAGAAATATTTAACCTCCATAACTACTTTCTTGCTCAATCTTTAATACCCACAACTTTAGTCATTAAATGTATTACCTATAACAGAAATAACTAAATTGCCACCTACCAGAAACAAAGCAAGCACAAAAGTATTTATTAAACACTATTATTTCTGTCTTTTAGTCGATGATGGGGCTGCTGAAAAGGAAACCCTGCCCGAGTTTGGAGAGGGAAAGGATACAGGAGGACTTGTGCCTGGGAAGTCTTTGGTGTTTGCAACACTAGAATTGTGTGTATGCATCCTAGTTAGACAGCTCCCAGAACTAAATCCTAAATTGACAGGTAGCCCAGGAGTAAAAGCCACAAAGCCACAGATGTTGTCAGAAGATGGAAGTAGACTGGTTTCAGCTGCATTGGTTATTCTCTCTGAACTTCCTGCGGTGTGCTCTCCTGAAGGTATGCTGTGATGGGATTGCTTGACTTAATATGTAAGGAAAGAAATGGTTTAGTAGATAATGGAGCCTATTGCTAATCTTTTTCTCATTAAATGAATGCTAACCCAAACATTTGGGTATTATCTTTAATCCTATAAGATTAGGATTACATTCTAGTGATTTGTTTTACTAAAAGGTTGAAAATAAAGATAGAGTCAACAAGTACAATCAATGGATATCCTCTTCTGTGATTAGCAATACTTTAACCAGTCACTCGCAATTACTGGCTCTTAGGCATTTTTTTTCTTTTTGGTATGTAATATCTAGTGGGTATTTTCTGCCTCAGTGATGACACAAATTTGTCATCATATCCAGTTCTGTTTGGAATTGAGTCCATACTCTTTAACATAGTATTTAAGGATCTCCATGTAGCTCTGCTGAGGCACTGCCATTTCCTGATTCCTGCTGTGTGAATCCTAAACTCAAGAGGCTTCATGTTCATCCTTGTTCTGGAACTTGATTCTTAAAATTTTTTCTTTCTTCAAAGTCAGCTCCAGGCCTATATCATCTGTACAGGCTTCCCTAAAAACTCTAGCTCATATGATTTTTGGTTTTTTATGTGTATATATGTATGTTATTTTTATGTGTAGGTTTGTTGCTTTTATCTGTCAAAAGCATTATTTGTAATTATTATATTAAATATATAAAAAATAAAAATGTATATTTAGATGTATTTCTCTCGTTTCCAACTAAATTTTGTGTACCTTATGAAATCTAGCACGATAAGCATTTAGTATTTATAGGGAAGCATATTTCTCCTTGAGTGTGTCTTGACCATTTTATATCCTTTCTTAATTTCAACCTCATGGGCAGTGCCTGTGGCTCAAGGAGTAGGGCACCAGCCCCATATGCTGAGGGTGGCCAGTTCAAACCCAGCCCCAGCAAAAAACCTACAAAAAAAAAAAATTTCAACCTCATTACTTTTAGCTTCAATTTGAATTAAAATCTATACTCCTTGTTCTTATACACTGTTGAATACCAGAAGAGGCAGAAAAACTGACTAGCAGAGGGGTAATTCATCTAGGTTTTATTGAGTAGCCTCTAAGAAAATTAAATTGGCAATTTTAGCTTTAGTTTCTCCCCCCCCCCGCCTTTTTTTTTAAGACGAGTCTCACTTTGTCACCCTTGGCACAGTGCCATGGCATCACAGCTCACACAACGTCCATCTCTTGGGCTTAAGCGATTCTCTTGCCTCAGCCTCTCGGTAGCTGGGACCACAGGCACCTGCCATAACACCCAGCTATTTTTTGATATAGTTTGGCCAGGACTGGATTTGAACCCAACACCCTTGGCATATGGGGCTGGCACTCTACTTACTGAGCCACAGGCACTGCCCTCTTCAATTTTATTTTATTTTATTTTATTTTATTTTATTTTTGCATTTTTGGCTCCGGGGCTGTGGGGTTTTTTGGTTATTTTGTGTTTTTTTTTTTTGAGACAGAGCCTCATGCTGTCCCCCTGGGTAGAGTGCCGTGGCATCATAGCTCACAGCAACCTCCACCTCCTGGGCTCAAGCGAGTCTCCTGCCTCCGCCTCCCAAGCAGCTGGGACCACAGGCGCCCACCACAACGCCCGGC